ACACACACACATTATATACTAAAGTCCCCAACAGAATACCTTAATATTTTTAATAAAACATTATTTGTGCTTAATTTCTACAAAGTAAATACAGAAATGAGCAAACCAAAGATCTTTAGCTGCTTACCTCAAACTTTCTGAACTACGCACTACTTGAAGTGATTCTAAAAACATACAAACAAGTGGTTAATGTCACATCTTTATGACATAAAATGGTTTACATGGTCACCATTACACAACCCCCCCTGCAAATGAAGCTGTTCAACAGTTCATACTGTTGTTCCTCACAGATACTGTACATCTGAACACAGCAGCTTTTTAAAATTTCAGTGATCAGTACAACTTTTTTTGAAAATATTAAATTCTATTCTTTTATCTCTTGTTTGCTTTTGGAAAATTAGAGGATGAACAAAGAGTAAGAACCTAGTCAAGCTGCAGGAGTGTGTAGTAAAGTACATTCTTAGTTACAGTACGTAAGGAATTTTTTTTGAGAAGCTGTAATTTTAAAACAGAAAAAAAAAGGTTAAAGACAAAACAACTGGACTTTTATTCTGAAGTTGAAGATGTTCGCTTCTGAGAATCTTCACCAGCAAGTTGTAATTTTAGCAAGATTTTTGTATTGTAACTTTTAGTTTAATTTCTTTACATTCAAAACATAAAAATGATCAATTTTAAAGTAAAGAAGTTGAAAGGAATTGTTTATAAACTCTAAAAATTACGTTACTGGTTCCACTAAATTGAGTTGAGTGAATGTAAAGCAAAATTCCCATTTTCTTTAAAAGAAAACGTGAATTGCTCAATTTATTCTACTCATTTTAGTGGAAACAGTTGACGTAACCTGGTTAAATAAAAGCAAGTGGTTAATGTGCAGTACAGAATAATTACTTTTGTTAGAACACCAGCTCAGTTCCCTTATCCTTCAGTAAGGAAAGGTTTTAAGCAGATACAGCAGGTAAAATAAGTATTGAACCCGTCACCATTTTTCTCAGTAAATATATTACTAGAGGTGCTAATGACATGAAATTTTCACCAGATGTCGGTAACAA